GCCCCGGCGGCTGCCGCAGGGCGCGCTGGCCGCCTCGCTCGCCTCCGCCTGGGCGCCGGGCTCCGGCACGCGCCTCGCCGCCGCCTTGCCGCCGCCTTTGTCCGCCCTCCGCCGCCGCCGCCCGAAGCGAAGTGGCGCACGCCGCGTCCCAGGTGCGAAGCCGCGCGGACGGGACGGGGCGGGCGGGGCGGGGCGCGCGGCGGGCGAGGAGCCCGCGAGCGCGGGGCCGGCGGGTCCCGATTGGCCCTCGCCCGCACGACGGCCCGCCTGACTGGCTGGAGGGCTTCCTGAGCGGCCATTGGCCGGCGGCCCTGCCCGTTCCCATTGCGCCCGCCCACTACTGTCTCTATAATTGAGGCTGGAGGTGGGGAGGGGACGGCGGGCCGGGCCCACTTAAAACAAGTGGGAAGAGCTGCTTTGCTGATTTCCACCCGTCCCTCAGGGATGCCAGCCTGGTTTTTATCTCTGTATATATATTTGCTTTTTTTATGATGATGATGATGCTTTATTTTTCAAAATTTTGCAAGCTGTCTCGAGATTCTTGAAAGGAGAAAGGCAGAATAATATAAATGTGAATAATTGATAATAACAGCAGCAGCAGCAATTGTTATTGCTATTATTGTTGCTGCTGCTGTTATTATCAATATATCATATTTATATGTTGTTGGTCTCAGGCTGCACTGTATTCATGCAAATCTGTTTATATCTCCAGAGCAAGACTGATGGGACTCCCTGCTAAGTAGATATGTGCGGGTTTGTACTAAGCAGGCATGCTTAGGTTAAAATAATAATACTAATCTAAACATGTATTAATGGAGAGCACGGAAGAACATCAGCAGATGATTAGAAGCCTGCCTAGACCAGAATAGCAAGGTTTTTTCCTTAAAGGTGGATTTAAAATAATTTAAATAAAATATAGACTATAGGATGCTTTACCTGTAAACTCTGGATCCATACCTAATATTTATTTATTTTGTTTATTGAAAGCATGTCTACCCAGTCCTTTACCGAGGTGTTCAGGATGGCCAAATATCAGTGTGTGATGTTCATTCACAGATTCCATCAAAGGATGATAAATGGTGATTCATATTTCTTACTGCAGCCAGAAAGGCTATCGGCCAATTTGGAGACAGAAAAAAAAGATCACAGAAATGCATACAAAATATGGGTAAAGTTTTGAACTCTCCAGGGCTCTTAATCAGGCACAATATTAGCATCCTCAGCTTCCACCCCCTGTTCGCATACTGATGCTCATCAAAGATAAGGGTTTTCCTGAGGAGGGGAAGTTGGTCGGGCTTGAGGCCAGCAGAAGAAGGAAAACCTCCACAGGTCTTCTCCTGGAACTCTCCCATCCCTGCTTTAGCAGAAAAACAGGCTTGAAAATTACCCCATGTTTAAAAATCATGAACAATTAGTCATCTTCAGTCAATCACCTTGTTAGTTAGCTCGCAGCTATCGGAAAGCTCAAGAAAACAGGAATTTTAAAAGACCGTGCATTATAACTGGGAAAAAATGACCTATAATGCAGGATCTGATGAATCAGGACACAAAGTAAAGCTATCAGTGGAAACACCAGGAAAAAAATCAACCTTCCTCAAAAGTCTAATTGAACAGAAATGCATTTGAATAGAGTGCTTCTGCCCTTGTGCAGAGTCCTTCTTACCAATTCCCAGCCCCCCACACACACATGGGGGTCAAGCAGCTCTGGCAGGCTTGCAAGCATTCCTGGTGACCAGGTCCCCTGTGGGGCAGGGAGGGGTCATCCTTTCAGTTTTTACCTCCTACTTTTGACCAAAAAGATCAGTCCTTTAGGCTTTTTACCTCGCAGTTAAAGGAGAAGTGTACTGAGACAATTACAGATTACCTCCCGGAAGTAGTAGCAGCAGTTATTATTTTATCATATTGCATTCATAACCCACCTTTTTCATGAGAGAGTCCCGATGGTTTACACAGCACCGTTTTATCCTCACGACAACAACCCTGTGAGGTAGAACACCAGCTCAAGCCACACCACTGGCTGTCCTGGCTATTGCTGCGGGAAATGCCATTCAACCTCTTGAGGACTAGAAGATGTACCAAGAGAACAGCGCTGGATCAGGCGAAAGGTCCATTTAGTTAATTGGATCAAAGGGCAGGTGAATGGAAAGGCCCTTCTGTGCCTGACACTTCGTGAGCCGCTGTTGTCATTATTCCCCACTTGCACAGATGTTGCAGCATTCAAAGTGCTCGGCAGTGAAATTTGGCTGGCCCCCAACTGGGATGCTTGGAAAGAGGATACTTCCAGTATCAGGTTGAAATTTTTTATTTAAATAAAATAAAATAAATAAATAAAAGTAGGTTGTGTATCCCAGCCGTGGGCTCCCTGTCCTGCTTGTGGGATCCCACGGAGAGCTGTCTGGCCACTGCGTGGACAGAATCCTGGACCAGGTGGTCTGTTGGACTGATCCAGCGCATCTCTTCTTATGCTCTTATCTAAAGGGCATGCTGCAAATGGGTGGGGGGAGGGAGAGATTTGGGGGGGCGGGGGAGAAGAAACAAGGACCTGCACATTCCCCGGACTGTGACGGCGTCGGCTTGGACTTCCTGCTTGCCATCATGTTTTTCCTAAGAAATAAGGGGGTTCAGCCCCCAGTGGATTAGGTGAACAAAGACCCTGACCCACATAAAGCAGCTGCCCCTGAAGTATCTGATAGCCCTGCTAAAGCTATCAGAGCTCCAGGGTAGGTGACTTGGACCGTGCCCTGAATGGGGTCGCACTCCCTCTAAAGGACAGGGTCCGCAGCTTGGGAGTGCTCCTCGACCCGGAGCTGTCCCTGGAAGCTCAGGTGACGGCGGTGGCGAGGAGCGCCTTCCTTCAGCTTCGGCTGATCCATCAGCTGCGCCCCTACCTGGAGGATGACTGTCTAGCGACAGTGGCACGTGCATTGGTTACCTCCCAGTTGGACTTCTGCAATGCACTTTATGTGGGGCTGCCCTTGAAGACAGTCCAGATACTTCAGATGGTGCAAAATAGAGCAGCCAGGTTGCTGACGGGGACTGGGAGTTATTCTCATATAACCCCAGTCCTCTACCAGCTTCACTGGCTCCCCATCGAAGTCCGGGCTCAATTCAAGGTGCTGGTTATCACCTACAAAGCCCTTAATGGCTTGGGACCTGGATACCTAAAGGAACGTCTGCTTCCGTATTTGCCCTCCTGTCCCTTGAGATCAGCGGCAGAGGCCCTTCTCTGGGAGCCCTCCGTGAAAGACATCAGGAGGCAAAGTACCCGGAGGAGGGCCTTCTCTGCGGTGGCACCCCACCTATGGAATGCGCTCCCCAGAGAGGTCCGCCTGACGCCGTCATTATTTGTTTTTCGGTGCCAGGCGAAGACCTTTTTATTTAAACTATATTTTAATAACTTTTAACATCAGCTTACAGGTTTTGATCTGCAGCCAGGGTGAATCTGGATTTTATTTGTATCATGTTTTATTTTATTTTATGTAAGCCGTCCCGAGGCTATGCGATGGGACGGCATACAAATACTCTAAACAAACAAACAAAGCCCTTCTCAGTCCACGTCATACATCCAAAGAAGCTTCATCACATGGTACTGTGGTGCCTCTGGAGCTTTGGAGAACATCTAGCCATTATCCTGGGTGTATACAAACCCCTGTTCGCACCTTCTTACGTTGTAAACCAAAATGGTGTCCTCCAGTTGGGCTGGAACTGCAAATCCCATCACCCCCAGCCAGCAAGGCTAACATATTTGGAAAGATCCAGGTTGAGGAAGGGTTGGTGTTGGTGCAAGCACTCCCCATTTTACGGGATGGGGAACTGAGTAAGGAGAGAGTGCGGCTGCCCCACACCAGCTCTCACCTTTATAGGTACAGCAAGGTATGGATCTAATAGGCATTCGCTTTGGGTAGGTACCCCCATCTGCCACTCTCCCAGCTGCCCAGTCTGTCCCATTTTCAGCGGCTGTGATGAAAAGAACAGAGGGACACAGAGTCAACACACGATTGTGAATCACTCCCATTGTCTTCCCAGCTGTGACATATTGTGTTGAAACTGGAAGGCCAGATGTTGATTAGCTTCTCTTGGAGTGATGTCAATAGTACCAGTTGGTGTCTGGGGATACTGGGTTGCCAGGCTTGGAGGCTTCTGATGGAAGGCTAGCCAGGGATGGCCGAACTACACGTTCTCCAAAAACACATGTAACTCCCGTCGAGATTTTCCAGGGAAACTTGGCCATTGTTGAAGAACAATGCTTCCAGAAAATTAACTGGGGGCTGCCTGCTCCCAAACATGAGCATTTCTGCTAGTTTTGGGGTGTCGCTGCAAGCTCAGAGTGCTCTTTTGCGAGAGTGCTGGTCATTTGTACAACAGTCATCGCGGCTGACCATTGGATCCTATCCCAAATATTAAGCCAGGAGCTGTACCAGTATCCAGCGACGGTGCATGGGATGGCTTCTTTGGAGATCAGCTTTTTCACATGCAATCAGCCTGTGATTTTCCTGGCTGGAAGGGGAAACCTCCACTTTTAACCCTCTCGAGGTTTTTCTTCCACTTTGTCAAGCTTCTTTTCCTACTGAAAAACCACAAAAGACAAAAAGACGAAAGAACTGCACACAGTCTTTTGATTGGTAGCAATGCATGCCCTGCTTCTGGAGCCATGCAAACACGATGTGCTATATACAAATAAGTAGGCATGTCGTGAGCGGAGCCGGCTGGAGCCGGGGGTCAGACTAGATGACCCAGGAGACCCCTTCTGACTCGCTCTGTTTCTGTGTTTCTTTGTGTGTGTGTGTGTGTGTGTACACACACAAAATATCTATAAACCAAATGCACTTCAGCCTCAGAAGATCT